TGTTCTGGGGTGCACCCCGATATCCCGGCAGTCCCAGGAGGGAATTCCCGGGATTTGTTTTGGGGTGCACCCCGATATCCCGGCAGTCCCAGGAGGGAATTCCCAGGATTTCTTTTGGGGTGCACCCCGATATCCCGGCAATCCCAGGAGGGAATTCCCAGGGTTTGTTTTGGGGTGCAGCCCCGTTATCCCGGCAACCCCAGGAGGGAATTGCCGGGGCTGTTCTGGGGGGCACCCCGATATCCTGCCAATCCCAGGAGGGAATTCCCGGGTTTGTTTTGGGGTGCTCCATCCCTGGATCCATCCCTGGGATCCATCCCTGGGCTCCATCCCTGGGCTCCATCCCTGGATCCATCCCTGGGATCCATCCCTGGATCCATCCCCGGTTCCTGAGCTTCATCCCTGTGCTCCATCCCTGGATCCATCCCTGGATCCATCCCTGGGATCCATCCCTGGATCCATCCCCGGTTCCTGGGCTCCATCCCTGGATCCATCCCTGGGATCCATCCCTGGATCCATCCCTGGGCTCCATCCCTGGATCCATCCCCGGGTTCCTGTGCTCCATCCCTGGATCCATCCCTGGGCTCCATCCCTGGATCCATCCCCGGGTTCCTGGGCTCCATCCCTGGATCCATCCCTGGATCCATCCCTGGGATCCATCCCTGGATCCATCCTGGGCTCCATCCCTGGATCCATCCCTGGATCCATCCCTGGGTTCCTGGGCTCCATCCCTGTGCTCCATCCCTGGATCCATCCCTGGGATCCATCCCTGGATCCATCCCCGGGTTCCTGGGCTCCATCCCTGGATCCATTCCTGGGATCCATCCTGGGCTCCATCCCTGGGCTCCATCCCTGGGATCCATCCCTGGATCCATCCCTGGGCTCCATCCCTGGGATCCATCCCGGGTTCCTGGGATCCATCCCTGGGATCCATCCCTGGGATCCATCCCTGGATCCATCCCTGGGCTCCATCCCTGGATCCATCCCGGGTTCCTGGGATCCATCCCTGGGATCCATCCCTGGGATCCATCCCTGGATCCATCCCTGGGCTCCATCCCTGGATCCATCCCCGGTTCCTGAGCTTCATCCCTGGGATCCATCCCTGGGCTCCATCCCTGGATCCATCCCTGGATCCATCCCTGGATCCATCCCTGGGATCCATCCCTGGGATCCATCCCTGGATCCATCCCCGGTTCCTGGGCTCCATCCCTGGATCCATCCCTGAGCTCCATCCCTGAGCTCCATCCCTGGATCCATCCCTGGATCCATCCCCGGTTCCTGGGCTCCATCCCTGGGATCCATCCTGGCACCGACCCTGCACCCAGCCCACCCTGGGCTCGCCCACTTTGGGGCCTTTTTTGGGGCAGGCCGCAGCTGGGGTGCGTTTGTGCTGTGGGATCGAGCAGGGACACCCCAAAATTTGCTGCGGGATGAGGGGGAGCAGCTCCCGGTCCCCCCGGGGGCTCCGCAGGCATCGCGGAGGCGCAGCCCGCGATCCCACGGGAAATGTGCCCTGTGCCAG